GTTATACCTGCACCTCTTCCTGCATTGCCTTTAGGGGTGAGACACTGGGAAATGTGGGGAATTTATCTGCATTCAGCAATTTTATTTAGATTGTTTTTGTGCTATGTGGTGACTGTACAAAAGTCATCTCTGTATGATTTGGGCTGACAGGGTCACCAGGGGCTTGTGTACAGAGTGGTGGAAACGCAGTAAAGAACATCTGAAATGGAAGGGGGTGAGCAGGGAGGGCTGCAATGGTGGTTACAGGACCAGACTTCCCAGGAAAGGTGATAGAGGGAATAGCATATATACAGGCAGTTGGCCATGTGACAACAGTCTTCCCGCACACAGTAATTACCAGAAGGGGGAAAGTAAAGGTTATTGAGGAACACAACAGTTGGCCATTGCCTGCACACCTCTGGTTTGAGAACCACTGCTGCTTATCTACTCTGCAGTTGTGCAAGGTGGGAAGTAACTGCAGGTTTTCTATAAGGACGTCAGCTCAGAAGCTGAAGAACAGCGAATGTTTTTGGTAAAATTAAGAGACATGAGAAACCTTCAGATGCAGATTTAAGGACTGCTAAAAAGAGTGGGGACTTGGAGCACATAAAAGCCAGCCAAGTAGTTCTCCCACACAAATCAACCATAGACTAGCACTGAAGTTTTCTGGACCTTGATTGGTTCAGAGTGCAAAAGAGGCAGGGCTGTATAAGGAACTGCCCTATCAAACCACCATTGCAGGAAAGGTCTGCTGAGATACTAGGCTGACCATGGGCTGTGAGGATGTTCACATTCAAACTTGGGTCACCCCAAGGAAAATTCCTGCTCACTTAGATGTGCACCTGACCCATAATAAATTCTTTCAAATAGCTAGCTGGGAAAAAACAACTTGAAGATAATGAAAAGGAACAGCATAGGCTCTACACACAAAGGCAACATGAAGGGAGAAGGCAAAGAATGGGAATAGTAAAAAAATGTTACCATAACACACACACATACAAATAAACATTGAAGCCAATTTCCAACAGTTAAAAAAAAAAATGAAGTGATTTCCTATATAAAGAATATCATGACCTAGCAAGGATTAGGTAAGAAAAAAATGAAATTATAATTGGAAGATCTAGGACAGAGGCAGGAATATATGGAAATTAAAAAATAAAGCAGAAAAGTGAAAATGGAAATAAAGAGTTAAAGGTTCAGAGTGAAAATAAGATGAAAACTGAAATATCTAACTATAATTCTAGAAAACTAGAGTTTTCCTAAATTATAAATTTTGAATCTGTAAAATCAAGGACATATCATGTTCCAGGGGAATTTGGCACAGAGTAATTAATACTAAAATATAATACAGACCATTACGAATCTCCCGGATGGTGAGGGAAAGTCTATGAAATTATTTATGAATTGAAAAAAGTTAGGCTAGCCTCAGACATCTCCATAGCAACATTTGACCAAAAAAATTGGTTGATGCCTACAAAGCCCCCCAACTGAGTGTATTTTTTTTTTTTAAGTTATTTGCTATAGAGCATGTGTGTTAACCAGAAAGGAAGAAAGAGGAGAAAAGTGAAGAATAACTCCCCAGGGGATGGCCATGCTACAATCCCGTCTCCTCCAGTCTCTTGAGGTTTGGGGGGGCACATGCACACTCACCTGGCATGATTTTTTTTTTTTTAAGAGCCAGCCAATCTGTCATTTAAGTATAAAGATAACAGTTTACATGGCATGAAGAACCAGCAGCAGATCTACAGGAAGCCTTATAACCCAGCAAATAATAACAGGAATCTTGGAGAAAAAAAGATGTATATTTAAACTCCCAAGAACAGTAATAAAAACAGAAGTGTTACTTATCAGCATTCCAAAATATAAACACTTCAGAACTGAAAATTATGGACAGTTGGAATTTAATTAATTCAAGTGAAGAAAGACTGGTACAGTTAAAAGATTTAATAAAACATCATCTAGAACTGATTAACTCAGTCAGAATACAGTAAGGGATAGACTGAAAATAGGAAAGTTCTGGGGTCAGCAGGTAATGTAGTGGTTAAGGCTGGGCTTCCACATGGTTGACTGTGGTTCAACTCCTAGACCCAGTGGCTTGAAACTCAGGCCAGGTGCATGTGTGTGCATGCCCAAAGTCCTGAGGGGAATGAAGGAGAAGAAATTGGGGCGTGGCCAACCCCCTTGTGGGGTGACTTTTTTGCTTTCTGTCTCTACAGCAAGTGCAAGTGCATGC